TGTGTGTGTGTGTGTGTGTGTGTGTGTGTGTGTGTGTGTGTGTGTGTGTGTGTGTGTGTGTGTGTGTGTGTGTGTGTGTGTGTGTGTGTGTGTGTGTGTGTGTGTGTGTGTGTGTGTGTGTGTGTGTGTGTGTGTGTGTGTGTGTGTGCAGTATGTATATGTACAGGCATGGACGTTCTACTTTTCACTGTATGCATCAATATCATGTGTGTACGTGCAAGGCTGGCATCGGGAGCACGTTGACGGCAGTGTGAGAGGCTACGAAGTTGAGGACCGAACGGAGCCGTTGAAGACGGATTCAGTTCGTTGTGAACAAAATTTTTAATCTTGAAAATATGAACTGAATTATCTACTGGTAATGTGGATCAAACGTAAGAGCTTTTAAAAAAATGCAACGCGCAACAACATTGGTGTGAACACAAAGCAAAACGGCAGCAGATACTTCTCACTTTAGTGCGTACTACTATAGTCCATTCGCCAAATCTGGGCCCCTGATACACTAGAACTACCATACTTTGTGGAGCTCATATAGCGCCAAAGCCAGTCCTGTGTGTTGTACAAGAGGTTGTTAGCGATGTGTAGAGCATGTGACCATCACGTAGTAAGTTGAAACCGTGAGAAAATCTCGCAAGAAACTGCACATGGTGGGCGTTGTGGCAAGGTGTCTTCGTCGAGTGAAACATGGCAGAGGCAGGGAAATTCCTCTGACCGAACCTGCCAAGAGAGTAAACTGCTTCGAGGACAAATTCTGGTACAGTGTCAAGCAATGACAACGTCCGGAAGAAGCTAGAGGAGCTGACTCTTGTCCAGTTGCGTCCAGACTACCAATCAGATGATTCAGGAGCTGACCTTTCCCGAAGCAGATTTCAATCTGAAAAAAATACTTTTTGCGCATAATTATCTTGATCAATTTTCACCGTGCTCACTTCGTCTTAGGCTTAAAACAACGGCTATCATATTTCCTATCTCTATAAGCCATCGACTTCACGATTGTGAAAGACCTATGGGCCCAGATTTGGTCAATGGACTATAGTATAGCATTCTGCCTATTGTACCGCATTTCTCCTGTTATAACCTCGACCTCCCCCCCCCCCCCCCCGAACCTTAAGCATTCTTTTTTAAGTTTTCCCGAGCGGCTGTGCATGGAAAGACTGATACTAGTAGTCAAAGTAATACTATCCATGCAGACACACTTTGGTATTGACACACGTGGCAAGAAAAGTCCCAGGCATATCCAGGCTGTGCCCTGCTGCAACATACCCATGAGTACAGAGTTACTGAGTACCATGTTGATCCATTGAACGTGATCACGCCCAAAACTGTATTGCAGTGTAAAGACGTTGGAATTTTCATGCAAATTCCCGGATATAAGTCAACTTTTGGTTCAGTTTCTTGAGAGCAGGAAATACTCGAATAAGCGGTGAAAATTTAATTCAGCCATGTGTCTTTGTATTTCTTCTACAATGTATACATACTGGCAGTGTGTAGCGTTGGGTCAGTTATGCTGTGCATGTGTTAGGGGTGAAAGAATTATACCGAATATTCGAGTACTCACTCTGTTTTTTCAAAAATAATCATACTCGGCATAAATCAGAGTACTCGTTCATCCATGGCACATGCATTTACCACATAAATTTACAGTTTCAGGATAGCAGTCAGTAGATATTGATGTTCAGACTGTGTGGTGAGCATTTGAACACAAGTAGAGAGCGCCTAAATGACCCACATGCTTATTTCTCGTTGGCTGAGCGAAGCGAAAGAAACGAGAAATTGTGTTCTCTGCAAAAATTATTTGCTTCTTGTGCAGCAGGCCTGCACACACCGCATGTATGTAGTTATTGTGCTTGGTTGTGGCTCAGTACGCGGGTTTAATGCACGCACAAATAATATGACGCTGAGAACAAACAATACTCTCTCTCGTATACCCGAGAAAAATGACTGCCTATTGGTTCAATCATGATTGTGATTTTAAAGGCCCTTGGTGTGCAAGAGTACTCGAGCTCTGGATCTCAGTGCCAACTTTCACCCTTAGCATGTGTATGTGCATGTGCATGTGCATGTGTATGTGTATGTGTATGTATATGTGCTTGTGTATGTGGACTACAGATCCTAGAGAGGTGTTGCATGCCTACAGCATGATAATACGGGATAGCCATGTTACTTCCAACTCCAGTCAATTCCTGGCATTCCCCGTATCAATGGGTCCCATGATGTCACCAGGTCACCCATGTTGGTTTCTGGCAAGGCTGGCATTCCCCGTATCAGTGGGTCCCAGGATGTCACCAGGTCACCCATGTTGGTTTCTGGCAAGGCTGGCATTCCCCCCCCCCCTATCAGTGGGTCACATGATGTCACCCATACTGGCACCACTGTCCACACACCATGTGTACTTTCTACTTCAAAGTACTCCGATGTGGTCAGAGATCTGAACTCACTGTGTATGACCAGGAATAGCAATGTGCTCATTGGTTTCACTGTGTTCGTGGTGCTGCTGCTGCTGCTTGGTTCTCTGTGATAGGTTGAAATTCCCCTCGGTGAAGCAGCACACCATGGCCGCTCACTGGATGAAAATGCAGCTAACGAAAACCTCTCCTACGACTTTTCTGAATACATTGTGCCGAACGAAGCGCAGGTGCGTATCCGTTATGTGCTCGAGATAGTGGCCAACAAGGATGAGAAGTGATCTGGTCCAGCATTGTCAGCAAGCAGTTTTTCAAGCTTTTGTAGCACGGTGTTCCTCCTTGACTAAAATGGCAATGCTCGTCCAGATTGTTGGATGGTGACAGCGAACGACATGTACTGGTGCAAAACAACGATGCCAAGCCTCTTGAAGGCTGTCAGCAGCTTAGTTTATCTTTCCGACTGCACCTCCAATGCATTACCTCATCTCGTCCTCTCCTCTCCACAACATATAGCCGTATCCTGTATGAAACCAGGTCAGTGCACCACGCGCCGGAGGCCTTCCATAATCCTATTGGCATGGGACTCCGTCATTACTGTCGTCTAAGTCGTCGTGACCCTTTGAAAGTGATGTTTACATTGCGCGATGCGTAATCCCCGCTTATACCCGACAATGAAAATGATAGAAGCACCACAACAACAACAAAATTCTTTGAGTTCATTGATAATAATTCTTTTATAGAGTTTTGATTTGAAGTTTTCTGTTGGTTTGTGTTTGAAAATCTTTATTTTACACTAGCATTATTTCCTGATTTCTTCTCCAGTTTTGTATTGCATTTTTAGTACATTATGGAAGCACCAAGTTATAGCACCACAAGCGCCACACGGCAATATACTGGAGATACTGTAGTTACCACAGCTAGAGCTCCAGTGTGGGGAGCAACCAACTTTCATAGAGAATTATTGCCGACGTCACTACCTCTATTTATTAGCACTAGATGGAAAGAAGGACATCCAAACACTGCACATATCGATACTACTTACTCCTAAGTGCATGTAGTTTTGATGTACTTGAAAAGATTATTGCTAACTTCCGTTGCAGAATCGTTTGGTGTGGTGCACATTCTGTGAGTTGGCTTTCGATGTGATGCTTCATCATGTTCGCTGTGAACCGGTCCGGTGGTGTAGGATACATTCTGTGAATTGTCTTTCAATGACACGTCCTTCTACGATCTGTCATTCTGTGAACTTGTTTTCAACTTTCATGTACGCGGCACATTAGATACGCACACACTGTGGCATTGTTCTTGCACTACTGTAGCAGATCATACAACATACCACCACAGCAGAGCAAGATGCAATCATGACATGCACACAATGCATGCCAAATGGCACCATGAACGCAAGACTGGTACGCTACAGTGTAATCCAGTCCACCCACCCGGGCGAAAGCCGTCATCGCCATTACACACAGCGGCGTCAGCCTCTCTCATTCCTACACAAGTCATGCAGACATCTTACATGTTACAGTTATCACCTAAGATCAACTGCTGAAAGAATTGAATAGCATGTGACCAGCACATGTGAACACTAAACAACAGAATCAATCTAAAATTTAATGTAAATTTCGAAAGAGCAGAAGAAAAATCGTTCAAAAGAAAGCCGCCAAGCTATGCACAGAGGGAAGACCTGACAGCGCAGAAAGCAGAGGGCAAACCATTGCCAACCACCTCCTGCCTGTATTACTCTCAGATGAACACCCGCTCACCCCGGCTCCACAACAACGATTACGTGCTCCAGTGATTATCAGTTAATAAATAAGCCAGGATACGAGTGAGTGCGTGTGTGTGCGTATGTGTGCGTGTGTGTGTGTGTGCTGCTAATATTGGCGGCGGTGGACATCGGAAGCCCTGCAAGTGTTGAGTGTAGTGTCGAGGCATTCGTCTTCCATACACATCTTTGCGTTTGCTGTGCGCATTGAGCCAGCGAGTGGCAGCATACACATACAGTGCTTGCCTGCACTTCCTAGTCATCTTCAGTATTCACCGGTGATGTCGTTGATACCGTCGCCATCTTCAATGAGACCGTACTTGGACATGTAGCTGCGTGTCCCCAGAGTCATGTTGGCTACGTTGAGGATACTACCCTGTGGCTTGCGCACAGCAGCGCTGGTAGTGGCGGTGGCAGCAGCCTGCTGAGCTGGCCTGCCAGTGATACTACTGCCAGTGCCGTGATGAGAATCACCCCCACTCCACTGGCTGCCGCTCAAGTGCTGCTGATAGTGCTGGTTGACATGCTGAGGCTGCTGCTGCTGCTGTTGTCGTGCCTGGTACTGATACTGAGGATGATGCCGCTGCTGTTGCTGCGGTTGGTACTGGGGCTGTTGGTACTGGGGCTGTACTTGCCTTCCTCTATGATCATTACTACATTGTGCAGACTGCAGCAAGGGTGGATGCTGGCGATCACCAAGTCTTTTGCGCGCAATCATCTCCACCTCGTAGCTCAAGTTGACGTCCATCGTCTGCGACATGGTGAGATTGGGCTCAAGAATCTGCAGGTGACGCGGAGCAGGCGGCGCGCTCTGTTGTCGTTGCTGTTGG